GATGAAAAAAAAAAAAAAGCAGAGTGATATGACAAGTGGTAGAAAAATTAGCTCTAAAATGAGTTAATACTATGAACTTTCAGACTTGCATTGTCTTGGTTGTTTGAGTGATTAGTATTTATCAGGTAAGGTGGAAAGTTATTTTGAATGGTGATAGACTTTTATGCATACAACGTGATATATCTCATACTAGTAGAATTTATTCTTGCTTCATGTTTACAGTAATCAATTATATTGTAAAATAATATATTTATCTAATATATGTTGCTGGTAAGAGGTGGCATGTATCCCGTAAAATTAGTTGAGGTGCCTCGGACATTAGGGTTATATATATTTTGAATGATATATACTTTGTTCTAATCTAGAATTATTAAGAGTAAATTACTTAATTTGATATGGAGATCAAGTGATATCCGATTTTACAATGTCTTCAACTTAATATTAATACAATTACCAATATACAGGAGGCATCACTTTCAAGCATTGTTGCCGTTGGAGACCTATTCTCTCATATAATTCCCTTTCTGAAAACAATCCAAATTTAATTATAAGATTTTGACTGGTGGCTAGAAAAGTACAACTTAATCTCCCACATTCATGAACTACTTACTCACGAAACCATATAATAATACTAATNAAAAAGATGCAGGGAATACCATTAGAGTTTGATCAGCAAAATTTTCTTGACACCATGCAACATCTCTTCAATGATCCTGACTTTTCCCAAATCTTTTCAGAACTAAATTCATCCAATAACACCATCCAAACACCGAGACAATCAAGTTGTGAAAACACCATATTTGCACAACACAATCAAGAAAATTTATATGCAGATCAAGATCATATCGAGACAGCAGAAAATAAGGAGCCAAACTCAGAGGTGCCACTGGAAAAGAAGAAATACAAAGGAGTGAGGAGGAGACCATGGGGAAAATATGCAGCAGAAATAAGGGATCCTGAAAGAAAAGGCGCTAGACTTTGGCTAGGGACATATGAAACTCCTGAGGATGCAGCATTGGCTTATGACAGAACTGCATTTAAACTGCGCGGTTCAAGAGCTGTACTCAATTTCCCTCACTTGATTGAATCTAATGTTACTGAGATTAATAGAGTGAGGCCACGGAGACGTTCACGAGAACTCGATATTGAGCTTTCATCTTCTTCCTTGGGAGATGCCCCGAGTTCAAAGAGGAGAAATGTTGAGCTAATTAACAGCTTAGCTACAGCCAACTTGGACAGTCAAAGTATCGTGGAGAGATGTTTAACGTCTAGTTTTTTTGCCTGAAGAAAATAATCTAACACTTACATATATATGACAATTAGCCTCTTGGTTTATTGTTAAGTAAAAGAAACAAAAGGTACAATGCAATATTAATGTGTAGCTCGTAACTCGTAAGATCAAGTTTTAGAATTCTTTGTGTGTTTAATTTCTCTTTCTCGTTTATTTTAATGCACTTGTCATAACAGGTTGTTGTTTTATTTTTTAGATTTTAGAAAATTGGTTCTGCTTCTCATAGGCAGTAGATAAACATTTACTTAAATTGATCTTGCGAGCAATATAAGTAATTAATACTTTGGCTATAGTTTAGCGTAGGAGGAGCAAAGGCGTTTGACAGGTTTACATACGTTGAAAAATAGTACTTACAATTTAATGTAATATACTATCTGAACAACGATTTCCATTTATTAATGTATTGGTGGTAAATATATTATACACGTGGAATTATATTTAGCTGAGAGAGCATGATACGTGGAACAATGAGGAAATGACAACTCACATATTTCATTTAAAAGATGTATGAAGCGTAACAGGTACGAGGCAAACACCCACTAGATAATGGAGAACCAATATTCGAACCTAAAACAATTGCTCAAGAGGCACGAGCGGAATGAATCAAGACTCGAAAGAGGGAAGATTCACGGACCTACAATTAATGAAGAAGGGGAATCAGAATCGTTACAAAATCTTCATAGACAGTTATGATTACCAATCATAACGGACAATTAATGCCGTTAAAGCTCATAATGATTCCACCATAAATAGGAGGAAACGTTATATTTATAAACTCCTATATAAGGGAGGAGAATCTCATTTGTAAAGACACGTTCGGAGTGTTATCAAAATATATTTACTTTCTCTTGCTTATTCAGTGCAATCAATTATTCTATCTTTTTAGTTACTTTTTATCAACTTTATTTCCTTTTAAGTGAATTACTGAGGAAGTGAGGAATTATTTGGTTATCAGTAACCCGAGTTCTTCTAAAAATAGGTTTTGACTAATGATCTTATTTTTTGGTTAAACAAATTTGTTCCGTTACCGGAAAATTGATAATCTTTTTACTTTCCAAATCCTTCTTTGTCACAACCAAATCATGTCAACTGTCAACTGTCAACATAAGTAACCAACAGGAGGGAGGATCTCCTCCAATTTCTTTACCACAGGAATCTCCACGTCATTCTCGAGAAGGAACACCTGAAAGATCCACGTCTCACACAAATGAACAACATGGAGACGAGCAGACTGTCAAGCAATATGCTTTAAAACAATTGATCGTTGAACATGTGAACAATGCTCTCCAAGATTTTGTTAGGGGATTTCCAACTGCACCACTAACTCCTCCCCCAAATAATACGGCAACTATAGAAAATCCATGCTCGGGGCTTGCCAATTCAGGAAGCGGGGGAACTCCCAATGAATCACGTGATGGGAGTTCAGGTACACCAAATAACTCTGATTTATAAAATTTTGTACTAACTTTGCAGAAACAGACGAAAGAGCAAAACGACTGCATGTAACAAATACCTGGTGTACCACCTGCGATTAAGGGAGTGGATATCGATAAATATTCACAACAACCATGGAAGCCGAGCGCGGCCCCACTGCCCATTCCTAAGAAGTTCGAAATGCCTGACATCCCAAAATATGATGGAACAACTGACCCATGAGATCACGTAACTGTATTCACAACAGGCGTAAAAGGCAATGATTTGACCAAACAAGAAATTGAGTCAATTTTGGTCAAAAATATTCGAGAAACACTCACGAAAGGGGCATTAACATGGTTTTCTCTTTTACCTGAAAATTCTATTGGTTCTTTTGCTGAGCTTGTAAATTTATTCATAAAAGCACATTCGGGAGCTCAAAAAGTTGAAAAAAGGATGGAAGATATCTTTAAGGTAAAACAAGGAGATACTTAGTTACTCAGGGAATTTGTGGATAGATTTCAACGTGAAAGAATGATTCTTCCACGAGTACTTGATAATTGGGCAGCCATGGCGTTCGCAAGTAATTTGAATGAAAAGAGCTCAGAAGTCACGAGAAGACTCAAGGAAAGCTTACGAGAATTCCCTGCTACAACATGGAACGATGTATATAACAGGTACATCACCAAGCTATGGATTGAAGAAGACATCGTCGCACAGTCAAGGGTTGATGAAAGAACAAATTCAAGGCGGTCAGAGTCTGAAAAAAGGTCCTATAAAAATTGGTACGAGCCTTATATGGGACCTGCGAGGCGGGACTCACGGTCCAAACCAGAAAATGTACGGTCAGACCCTAGATCGAGGAACAAAGATGCGAGATCATCATCCAGGTTCAGAAAAGAACAAGATGTACGTGATAGAGATACTGACATGAATGCAAGGATTGGTGATTACAGTTTTAATATTAGCACATCTGAGTTGGTAGCTATTTTAAGGAATATGGGAGATAAGGTACGGTGGCCAAAGTAAATGAGATCAAACCCAGGCAGAAGAAATCCAGATTTCTGGTGCGAGTTTCATAATGATCATGGCCATAAAACAGCGAATTGTAGACTATTACAAGGTAAAGTAGAGCATTTGCTAAAGCAATATTATTTAACCAACTTGTTTAGCGAGAAAGGCAAGCAATCTTATATGAAAAATAGACAAGAACCTCCAAATCCTCCGTCTCCAAAAAAGAACAGTTAGCGTGATAAGCGGAGTGGAAGAAGTCAATGGTGTAACATACACAGCTGCGAAAAAGACGTCAAAGTTCACTGTGACCCACGGGAAGCGAGTTCGCCATGTTTTGGAAGAAGATAGTATAACATTTGATGATGCAGATGCAGGTGGCTTGATAATCCCTCACAATGATGCACTGGTAATATCTTTACTTATACATAATACTAATGTAAAATGAGTTTTGATTGATCCAGGTAGCTCCATGAATATTATTCTTCTAAGAGTGGTGAACGAAATGCAAATGGGCGACAAGATAGTACCAAAAGAACGATCCTTATCTGGATTCGATAATTCAACCGTTATTACAAAAGGGGAGATAGTGCTTACCACATTTGTAGAAGGAGTTATCAAGGATACGAAATTCCAAGTAATAGACACGGACATGACTTATAATGTGATTCTTAGGAGGCCATGGATTCATGACATGGATGTTGTACCATCTATGTTACATCAAGTCATTAAGTTTCCTTCACAATGGGGAATTCGGCAAATCCGTGGAGATCAACAGGTTTCTAAAAATATCAATTCAGTGGTAGATTCGCGTACGATGAATGAAGATACGAACAAGAATCCCGTCGAAGATATGGTAAATCGGATCTCAGCTGAAAGTGGCTTAAGGCAAACAGATGTAGATTTTAGACCTGATGTCATTCAAGAACCAGAGGAGAATGAAAACATCAAAACAACAATTGAAGAACTGGAAGCTGTTGTACTATTCGAGCAATGGCCAGACTGAAAAGTTTATATTGGAGCGAAGCTGAGCCGAGAAATGAGAGGTAAGTTAGTTGAATTTTTTAAAGCTAACGCGGATTGTTTTGCCTGGTCGCATTCAGATATGACAGGTATACCTCCGGAGGAGATGACCCACAAACTAAATGAAAATCCCTCGTACCTTGTCAATCAAAAGAAAAATAAGCAAGGCTCTTTCAAAAATAAAGTGATTCAGGATGAGGTACAAAAACTTTTAAAAATCGGTTCAATACTGGAGGTAAAATACCCGAACTGGTTAGCTAATACTGTGGTACTTCCAAAAAAGAATAGAAAATGGCGGGTTTGCGTAGATTATACTGATTTAAATAAAGCTTGCCCAAAAGATTCATTCCATTTACCACATATAGATCAATTGATTGATTCTACCTCATGTCATGAGCGGTTGAGTTTTTTAGATGCATATTCAGGTTATAATCAAATAAATATGGATCCCTTAGATGAGAAAAAAACTTCATTTATTACACATGGGGACTTATTATTACAAAGTTATGCCTTTTGGTTTGAAAAACGCTGGGGCCACGTATCACAGATTGGTGATCACAATGTTTCAAGAACACCCGGGAAAGACTATTGAAGTCTATATCGATGATATGCTAGTCAATCTGCACGAGCAGGAGATCACTTTCAACACCTTTCAAGCACCTTCGGAATTCTTCGCAAAAATAATATGAAATTAAATCCAAAAAAAATGTGCCTTCAGCGTGGCTTCAGGTAAGTTTATAGATTTTCTTGTATCTAACAGAGGTATTGAAGTGAATCCTGCGCAGATCAAAGCCATTGAAAAAATTCCAGATATACTCACGAGCAAAAATAAGGTACAAAGGCTGACAGGGAGAATAGCAGCTTTGGGAAGATTTATTTCCAAATTTTCGGAGAAAAGTTTTAAATTCTTTTCAGTATTGAAAAAGAAAAATCAATTTGAGTGGACTGATGAATGTCAACAAGCCCTTAAAATTTTAAAAGCATATTTGTCAAATCTACCCCTGCTAGCTAAGCCAAAGGATGAAGAGAGGCTACTCATCTATCTCGCAGTATTAGAAATGGCGGTAAGTGCGGTTTTAGTACGAGAAGATAAAGGTAAACAATCTTCAATTTATTATGTTAGTAAATCTTTGTTAGATGCTGAGACTCGATATCATCACTTAGAAAAACTTACTTTAGCATTAGTTATGCCATCTAGAAAGTTGAGACCTTATTTTCAATGTCATCATATCTCTATAATAATTGCTTACCCTCTAAGGAGTATACTACATAAACAAGAATTGTCAGAAAGATTAGCTAAATGGGCTATAGAACTCAGTGAATATAATATTATGTACCAACCTAGAACGGTAATAAAATCACAAATTTTAGCAAATTTTGTAGCGGATTTTAGCACAGAAATAGTTCCTGAAAAAGAAAAGGAACTACAGGTATTCACTGGATCTAATCCAGGTACATGGACTCTATTTACTTATGGTTCCTCTAATGTTAAAGGAGCAGGTTTAGGTATTGTTTTAATCCTACCTTTGGGAAAAAGTATAAGACAAGCAATAAAATGCTATCCAATTACTAATAATGAATCAAAGTATGAGGCTATAATTGTAGGTTTAGAACTCGGACGAGAATTGGCTATAGAGAAAATGATAATTAAAAGTGATTCCCAGCTGGTAGTTAACCAGATGCAGGGGACTTATATAGCTAGAGAGGCACGCATGCAGCAATATTT